TATCTTTACCTTGGACTGATGCATCTTTCCCCATACTAGACACTATCTTTACCCTGGACTGATACATCTTTCCCCATACTAGATACTATCTTTACCTTGGACTGATACATCTTTCCCCATACTAGATACTATCTTTACCTTGGACTGATACATCTTTCCCCATACTAGACATTGTCTTTACTTTGAACTGATGCATCTTTCCCAATACTAGACACTGTCTTTACCTTTGACCGATGCATCTTTCCCAATACTAGACACTGTCTTTACCTTGGACCGATGCATCTTTTTCAATACTAGAGTCTGTCTTTACCTTGGACCGATGCATCTTTTTCAATACTAGAGTCTGTCTTTACCTTGGACCGATGCATCTTTTTCAATACTAGACACTGTCTTTACCTTGGCCTGATGCATCTTTTCCCTGCAAGACATCTTGTCTACCTTGGCCTGATGCATATTTTCCCTGCAAGACATCATGTCTACCTTGGTCTTTCTCATTGAATAAATCAGCTGAGATATTGGAAGTAATCTCTTCTTTATCTTCCTGTAACATTGATAATAAATCATTTAATTTCACCAGCTTTAAATAATGAAAATTCTACCACAAAACTACAAGTATTCAACTTAAAATGTTGAAAAAATTATGTACAAAATCCTTTAGAAACACTGCTCAGAAAAACGTCTACATTATATTAAAATAACAGATTAAATTAAGATTATGATTCTAAACAAAGAGTTCATATACAAAGCAGAACATTTAAAATAACACCAAACAACCATTCAACTATCATTAACATATTTTACTTTTGTTTTTTAAGACTCATAATATAGATAAATTAATATGTAGAATCATACATCAACCTTTCTCTATTTTGAAATACTTTAATTTGAAGGATTTCAACCCTATCACCAGAGCCTCCATCGGGCAACAATGAAAGCTTGCAAATAAAAGAAAAATATTTTAATGCAGAGAAAAGTTCATGTATAATTCTACACATTTTACTTATTTATGCAGTTTTATGAAACATTAAATAAAAAAAAATTCAATTTCATTAGTAACAACTACAGGAACAAAAATACGGGTTGTTTTATTATAAAAACTTCTAGGATAGAGCACTAATAACGAAATGACACAAGCAGAGTATAAAATATTCCCTCACCTCTGTTGACACTTTGTATTTTAAATCACGCTTCATCACACCTATTTCTTGAATCAGTTTTTTTGGAACATAGCCTCGCCGTCCATCAATCTATAATGTACATTCTTTTTGTATAAACATAACAGAAATAACTTCAATATACGTTAATAATATAAACACCACAGAGTTTAGTTACATCATTACTCTAATGAAAGTAACTACAAACATTTTGATATACCAACTGTTTAACAATTACACATATACATAGTCATTAAACAGTTGGACCACTGTATAATATCAAATAATGAATTAAGTGCAATGTCATAACATTATTCACAGCCCTAAATTAGTTGAGGTTATCGTATGGTGAATTAGAAAGGACTAAAAAAAAACGTAAATTTTGATATGCCATTATCAATTCATTTCATAAAAGTTGATGAAACTATCTGATATTTAGGGGTGATGTCAACAATACAAACGATTTAATAGGTAGGGGTGATGTCAACAATACAAACGATTTAATAGGTAGGGGTGATGTCAACAATACAAACGATCTAATAGGTAGGGGGTGATGTCAATAATACAAACGATCTAATAGGTAGGGGGTGATGTCAATAATACAAACTATCTAATAGGTAGGGGGTGATGTCAATAATACAAACTATCTAATAGGTAGGGGTGATGTCAATAATACAAACTATCTAATAGGTAGGGGGTGATGTCAATAATACAAACTATCTAATAGGCAGGGGTGATGTCAATAATACAACTTTTCTAATAGGTAGGGGTGATGTCAATAATACAACCTATCTAAATGGTAGAGGTGATGTCAATAATACAAACTATCTAATATGCAGAGGTGATGTCAATAATACAAACTAACTAATATGCAGAGGTGATATCAGTAATAGATGACTATATATAGATTGAAAAAGCTAAACATTTGATATGCAATTTTAAAACTTCTACTTCAGGGTAAAGCTTTAGATTTTGTGTTTTTATTAATATTTGCTTAAAACGAAATGCAAGAAGTTTGAAAAGGTATTTTTCTTTACAAGATACAAATATCCACAGTTACTCTGATATTTAACTGGTCATATTTTTGATGAAGAACTGTAAATAAATGAAATAAAATTTTCTTTTTATGGTTGGTACAACAGTCTTTAAAAGTCCAAATTACATGATATTGACCCACCTCCACGTCCCAAAGGTCAGGTCGACTCCCTGCTTCCTTACCATATATAATAACATCTTTGTTGGGAAGAAATGATAAAATACGCTTATCATCACTGAGATAACGTAACACTGTTCTGCCTCTAGATATTGGATCTGTAGAAAAAAACTATCAGTATCTGTGCATTTATGTTTTACAAAAAAAAACAAAAAAAAACATTTTATGAAACATGCTATGGCTTAATAATAATAATGCAAATGTCAAAACACAATTTATGTTTTTAATTAGTATAGCTTACAAAAATATTTATCATATTCCCAAGTATGATATTCAAGAACCTACAATTTATTGTTCATTATTAATTTATATTTTCATAAAATCTTGTGACAAATTATTTTTGGTTTAACAGATCTTGTGCAAATACACTGTTGGTGTGAACATGCTTTGTCATCACTATGAGAAAAACCTATAAACTGGATAGGTGAAGTGAATAAAAAGTGTCATTGTCCACTATTCAGTTCTTCACATTATATAGCCACACAACAGCAGATATAATGAATAAACTTAGTATTCCAAAATGCTATTTCAGAATACTAAGTTTATTTATTAGATCTTCTGCAGTTAAAAATGTAAAAAATATTAAAATAATTTAATAACACATTTTTAGTTTAATCATTTATTATATTAATATTTATAGATATAGTCCTAGGATATTTCCAACTCTTTCTTAATATAACCTTATTGACTTAACCATTTTTTATAATCAATCACTAAATTTGTGGAGGTGCTGTTAAATGATGAAAACTATTTAATTCTATCACAAAACTTTAACACACTGCAGTGATTTAAATGTGCTTACTTAGCATCAAAATTTGACTAATAAGCTTTAAAACTATATCTCATTAATTAAAAAACATAAAATAAAGCCTTACAGTTAGTGGCACTGCAATTTGAATGAATTTCTGCTGTTTGACCCCAGCCATACATCACCACAAACCATGATAATTTTTTTATCTTGAAAATCTTAACATTTATTGGTAGTAGTACAGCATTTAAAAGCAAAATATTATTCAAAATATTTGAATTCTTATCACATACTGGTATAGATTTTGAATTTTTTTCTTCTTTACAACGTTAGTTTTAAATTTGCCTATATAAATATACAATAATAAAATTGGGTAAAACAGCAATAATACTTCATAATTAATACTTATATTACCTTCATTTTCAATAGCATAATCCTAGACAGACTAGTGAATAACATTAATTGTGAATTTTTCTTTTCGTTATTTCGATGAAAAAACAAAACCATGCAAACTGGTGAGTGACATGTTTATATTTTGACCAAATTACTTTAATTTAAAATAACAGAGGATTGCAATATGAATTCATTACACCATACAAACTCCATAATCAGAGCATTTCACTTAGGAAAGTTATACTACGTTTTCTAGCCTAGTTCCTTGTCTAACGCCATGCACAAGCAAAACATTAACGACTATTTTAACTAACGGTAAGTTATAACAAGGTCTGCATTTTCAAAATGAGATTCGTCAAAGGAATGCCCGAGACTATAGTATACTGTAAGGTATAAGTAGAACTTAAAGTATAAAACAATCTTGCTCGTAAAATTATAATTCAATGAAAATAACACTACAATAAACAACACAAATTACCCTTGCATGCAGGATCACCACATAATCGTAAATCTGATATTTTAGTGGAAGAGAACTGAATTAGAAAAAATAACATTAAAATTAAAACATATCTTCTCAGCTGTACATCCATCTTTCGCTAATATAATAATACACGTCAACTTACTGCATACGCCTTCTAGTGGATGAGCTCATAAACAACAAAGGATCATTTATTAAGTAAGCTTCAAACTTCGCAAAATTGAATAAATTATGATTTCTCTTCAACTTTAAAACTAAATAAATCTATAATATCTAACTGAGCTTTTAAAGTAATAAAATAAGTTTCTATCCATACATAGTTTTACCAGCACGTACAACGAAAAGTATCTGAGCTGAACAAAAGTATTTGATAGAAAAGCCCATTTTTGAGATATATAACAAACTACAAACATAATGTGTTAAGTAAAGAACATTACAAATTTAAACAGTGGCAATGCTGAAATGCATAAAAAATTCAATACAACATTAAAATTCAATATAAATATAAATGTTGGAGGCATCCCACACCCTACAAAATTTTAAAATTCAGAAACAACTAAAATAGAATAGAAAAGTCCACCAGTTTAAAGTAATTATTAATTCGTTAATGGTGCATTTCAGACACTGTTCTCTTACTTGTAGTAAAGCTAATACGCTTTTAAGATGTATTTATTGACATTGTTACGGCAGCGGAAGTCACGTGACGCTGCTGGCGCGTTTGGCGTTGGTAGTGTACGTGAAATATCTCGAATGATCATGAACGACCCAGCAAACAGTTATACCGAGAAAGTTATGGGAAGTTGTGCTGCGTCAATCCCATGATAGATTAAGAGGAGAACATCTTGGAGTTAAGAAAACATTGAGTCACCTACGGCAAAGATTTTACTGGACAGTGTTACGTCTCCGTTCGTTAATTAACTTTCCGTAACTTTGTTCCGACGAAACTTTAGCGACACAAATCCTTACTTAATAAAACTGGTTTATTATTTCCGAATACAACTTTACGATACACTTATTTTCAACAATCACGCTAAAACAAACGCTATATCAACGAACGTTAACTTCAACAATATGTCTCTCTCTGACTGCAGTTCAATTACTCATTACCTACACACACATTACATTATTCCCCGTCACCTTGTCACCCTCTTTTATATACCAGACTACCCTATATCTAGTAAATGCTAGAGCATTCGCCAAGGTACAGGATAGTTCTAGAAAATAGGTGGGGCCACACCAGTCACGTGTCTCGCTGACGCAACACTGCCCCCTCCTTAATATTGTTCGTCCCGAACAATAACCACTTACAATAAACCAATAACAATTAACAATAACTTAATTAAAATGTACAGAATTACAAACACAAAATTACAATTCAACAAAGGCTCTTAATTTTACGGGACGTATCTTCTTCCGTACTGGTCTCCGTCTCGTTGGCTTCTGCTTCATGTGGGGTTCATCTGCTTCATCAGTAAATGGCCTATCATCGGTAACAGTCACATCAGTGGTAGTAACTTCATCAAGAGCTCCACCGTTTCCCTTCTCAAAACTGAGTAGAGTTTCTTCTTCGATGGTGGCTTCTTCAGGTGGCACGTCTTCAGCAGCGTCATTTGTTCTGTTTTCCACTTCGTCCCAACTGAAATGTCCTGGACCGTGATAACGCCAAAGCCTGGTGGCATGCACCTCTTTTGGCTTACCTCGCCGGCCTCATTTTTCCCGGAAAGTCACGTCTGAGAAACGATCCACTATGTCATATGGGCCTTCCCATGGAGAAGACAACTTAGGAGACTTCCCTTTGGTCTTCATGGGATTATAC